TAATCGTCGACTAATAGTATTTGAAAGGCTGCCGCACTTATAGGGTAGAGATATTACACCGGCTTTTTCTGAACTGATTGTTCTGTCACTTTCGGCCGGGAAGGTGCTACTATACTTCGGGATGAAACTGTTGAATATCCACGTCTAAGTAGGGCTGTGAAAGTTAGCATCCCTGTATATTTCTCATTTGTTGTCTCTGTTATGCAGCGACAGGTTGCAGTTGATGAACCGTCGCTAATTTTTTTGGTTCCAATAAATTCTGCTGTGTATGCTCGCTTCAACGTTTATAGCAGCAGTTGTACTATCCTCATCCGCTCTTTCACACTGCTCACTAATATCCTGTGCTGTGCTTGCTTAGTCACAAATAATCGGGTTTCGCAGTTAATCAAATTTACTTAAATATACAACCTCCTTCTTTCACCCCATATGCCCATTCGCATGTCTAATCAACATCCGTTTTCTCATTGAACCGTGAGCAGTTGGATAATAGACTATGAACTTCTTCATGTTTCGTGGACGTTTGCTTGTGCATGCCAGTCAGTGTTAGACGTAAATTTTCAAACACTACATGACTTTCACTATCGACGGTCCGATTGACTATGATCTATCGCCTACATGAGACGGTGAGTAGAATAACCACATTCCATTTCCCCTTCCCTCGCCCCTCCCCCCACGTTGCTGACTTCTGTTTCATACTAAAAACCGCAGTCACGCTTGACGAGGTTTCGCTGTAAATATAAATCACTCGCCTATGCGACGCCCTTTCCCTCCTCTCTTGAGCCATACACACCAACACCTCTGATCTACATTCTCTACACCATATTCTTGTTAAACTCTTTCTCGTATAATCATGATAAAACCGTAAGCAGTTGAATAAGAGGACAAGAAATTTATAACAGCACTATATTCTACATATTTCGCCACTTTTGTCTTGAAGTCATTCCGAAAAAGCGGGGCTTCACATTATTTTACCTGCCGACTCTCATTTGTCGATTTTGACCGGTAAGCTGCGCTAGCACAATTGAAAGCAGTCACAGATCACGGTTTTATAGGCATTAAAGATCTGCAGAACAAACCACATAGTTTTCCGGAAAGGAATATGCACTAGGAGACAGTAAAGACAATATATTTCGTACTTTGACTGTTTTCGTAATAATCTTACGCATCTGTGCCATCTTCTACTTTAGACACTTCAACCGTTTCCATAACTGTACAAAAGATCACTAGACTGATATTGCAGGAGGACCGACAATCAAAATGCTGGTCCGGATGAGCTGGAGTTTCGTACAGCATACTTTCTGCCTTAAGGTGCTTTAGTAAAATTTCGTTTTCTCACGCAAAATGTGATTCTAACGTATCTTGTTAACCCCAAATGGTCATAGTTCTGAGAGTACTCAATGCTACTTTATAATCAGGTACTTACTTGCCCTAGCAACTACGACAGATCACGCCCCTTTATTTGCGCGTTTATCATATTTTACTAGAAAATGTTTAACAAAACGTTTTCATAAAATAGTGTCCGCTAAATCAAGACTTGATTTTCCCGTTCACATAAGTCAGGCTAAAGAAAATATGAATAAGTTCACGATTTTTTGAGAACAGTACAGAAATTCTGCGCTAACGTTTCCGGTTTGGATACCTGGGCGGTTTGTTCTACCACAAAACCCATTAGTAACGTCAAAACACAATTTTTCTATTGCCGCACCCCTAATTTCTGGTCAAATGCAAACATGCCGGAAGCAACCCCGAACAGAACCCCCACCAAGCAGCGATTTGTAAGGCATCAAGTGCACAGTTGCGTTTCAATTAATATATAAGCGAACTGTTTTGATGGGTATGCGGCTATGCTTAAAAGCATTGACCCATACATATGTAAGTTTAGAACGGCTTACAAATAAGGAAAAAAATGGTTTTTTGAGGCAACACAAACATCGAGGGCGGGTGGGTGAGTAGAAAAATTGTGTCACCATTTCCGCTGGCTTCGTCTTGAAAAGTAAAAGACCGTCTTCATTCATGCCCGAGAAAATTTGACAAAGTGTTTTTGTAGACTAATTCAATGCGTTGCCTCCTGCCTACCGCACAATCCTGATAGGTGATCTTGGCGGCCAAAGAAAAGCCAATGGTTTTGGGGTCGACTGTTTAATTTAGGACGGCATTATCTGAAACCGGGGATCCTAGTTTCTCTGTCTCCAAAACACCCAATTGGGGAAAAGAGGAGTTTGCCCGTAATTACCAACCTGAGGAGAAGCCGTGGGTAGAGGGTATAGTCAGATTTTCCAGAGGTATGGTTTTTGAGGTGGAAACAGCAGTCGGAAGGGGCGAAAGGCATGCGAACCAGTTCGGGTACAGGTTTGCCAGAGAAGGCCTGATAGCGCGGGATCTGCTACGTGATACATTCTTGGTGCCCATTCTTGGGGTTGACGCCCATCCAACACCTGCCGTTCTTAGGAATGGCAGAGGAACACAACGACCGGGGAAAGTCATCTTGGATCGCTTGGTACAGGGGCTCTATCTTCTGTGGCCAACGCCGACTCCAAGTGGAGACCTCACGTCACCCCATCTCCTTGCTGACAGTGCTGTTTAGCCCGCGTTCCCGACCTACAAGAATCGCACACAAAACACCTCAGAACGTTGGTCTCGTAATACAGGCGGCGTGGGGACCATGAGTGCTAATAACCCATGAAACACTCATAAACACTGTCAACTTCTCATACTTTTATTCTCTACGCAACCGCGTGGGGCTGTTGATAAATTACGAAAAACGCTTGTTTGCCAAGTTGAATACGCACATGAATTTTTCGAATAATTTACCACTTGGGTATCATGAGGTTTTTGAATTCAATAGTTTTTATGTTATTCCATTTGTTCATTTTTCTGCATGACCATGTACTTTTTTCTTACATTAATTAAATTTGTTCATTTACTTTGTACACAAATTAAGTTTGTTCAATTTATACCCCAAATTAGGTTTGTTCAGTTAAGTTTGTTTAATCAAGTTTGTTCAAATTAAGTTTGTTCATTAAGTTTGTTAAGTATTTGGAATTCCTACTTGGTCTGAAAAAATGTTATTTCCAGCCAGTTTCCTTTTTAGTTCACTTTAATTGATGATCCTTTATTTTTATGTGGAGCCTTTGATCGAGGCATGAAGGTGGGTTTCTGGGTTATGTGGGCGTTTAATGTGAATTTATGCATCCTTCGCTAGTCTCCATCCCTACTTGTGTGCCAAGGAGAAAAAGGTTTGCTTTTTGTCTTTCCCTTTTACTCCCATTGTTTGAGACAGTGGACGGATTCTCCATGAGAGAGCTCTTGTCATGAGACCCTTCCTTTACGTATCCTCACAGTTGTCAAGGTGACTTAGCAGCATGACCAAAAAAGGATTTTTTTAGCACATGCGTAAATTATGCTTTCAGTGGGCATTGAAGAAACCTTGTGGGTAGCTTTAGCTTCTCTGTTTTTCACAGACTGCTGTTACTAGTGAACTCTGACATTCAGTCAAATTGTAAAATTATTTCCGTGTTCTTACTTTCCATCAGCAATTCATCGACGCGGAATGCGACCACGTTTAGTCACATGCCAATATTTTTTCCTGGTTTTCTCAGCTACCGATTAATCCTTCGCTGACGAATAAAGGCATTTACAAAAACGTTTTCGGAAAGCATTTTAATAACTTTGAGAATTTGAAAAGACTGAGGTTGCTGCCTCAGAAAGAGATCGAATTTGATAGATCCGTTTAAAACAAAAATAATGCACATAATGAATTGCAAACATTCAGTAGTAAGAAATTTCTGTAACATTTCTGCTATAGTTGGGTATATTATCCTTGACCATTCAAGCAAGGCCGACGATAGCTAATCGAACGATGGTTTCAAATTGCCACAGTTGCTAGGCCGTTTTTCTCTTGACTGATTCGCCTTGCTGAGAGAACAGGCACTAGCTAAACACCCAGACACGTGTTTCCTCTGTATTTTCTGATGCTTCGTGATACAGCTGCTAGGGGTTCAGCTCCTCAGCTGGGCTTCCGGCGCTACCTATGGGCTTTCTGGCAGATACCCCAACCTATAGTAATAGCTACCGATTTGAAGTTAGTAGCACGTTAATGCGTTAGTGTTGCGTATATTAAGCCCGCGCCCTCCTGTATGCAGTGACGGAGATGTCAACGCACAATGGGCGTTTTCTAACGCTTGAGAAATCCTGGCGGACAGCATAAATTCAGAAAGAAATGTCGTCCTTACTCTGCCCATTCGGCGGCTGTCTCGTCCTTAGGAATTTAAAACTGTTTACTTGTTCATGTTGACAGCCATCAATCACGGGAGGTACCTTCTCCCAGTCTAGGGTGCAGCTTGAAAACATTTTAGTCTACTAGCCGTTTATGGATAAACGGACCGATGTAACGACCTCCTTCGCCCGCGACACCATAGACCCCAGATCACGAAAACTTGAAGCTAGTAAAGCATCGGCATAGTTAAGATCAGTCAGTCGGTGTCCGTGTGTAAACTAAACACCGTCACCTTCGTGGAGGACTCTCTCGAGGATCCAGTCGACAACCTAGTTGAACAGAAGGGGCGGCAGGAACGCCAGACCGAATACCGAGTTGGTTAGCAAAATTGCCGTGGACAAGAACTCGCACATTGATGGAGCGCTAAAGGGAATTGATCACGGCGATGATTTTTTGTGATTCACTATCTAGTTCCGTCATTCGTCACAGGAACTCACGATGGACGGAATCGAACGCAATAAAATGTTCACTGAAGAAGACGGCCTTCGGTTGCTGGTATTTATAGCGGAGTGCAAAATGCGTCTCAGTGTGAATAACTGGTCCGCATATCCACGTGCAGCTCGGAGGTCGACCTGGTTTGGCCTCGTCCTGGAGTTACGCAGCAACGCCGATGAGACTTACGCGGCGGCAGTTCTCCCACCTTGTCTTATCTCTCTTCTTGAGGACAGGCGCAAGGATACCTGAGCTCCAGTAATCAGAAGCACCCTCGTTTCTTCTCGCTTGTTCAGGGCGCCAGAATGTCGACACAAGACTTGAAGATTTCAGCGGCTACACCATCCTCTCCGGCTGCCTTGTTGTTGCGTAGCCTTTGTATGGCATCGTTGACTTCTCTTTCAGAACGGCGGTCGCATGGCACCGCATAGGTTATAGATGAAAGAAACTCAGCTGCAGGGGAGAACAAACGCGTGATGGGTTTGGCATCGAAATTGAGATGATACCCGAAGCGCTCACGCCAGCAGTCGACATTGGCCGAGTTGTCAGCAATAAAACCACTCTTTGCATCGCAAAATAAGCCACTTAGTGCAGGAGGCTTACCACAAACGTTGTGGATAAGTTATTAGAATTTTAAGTGTCACCAACGTTCGAGGCGTGCTCCATGAGGTCGCTTTTTCGGCCAAATATTGCCTTCCGTCATTCCTGGCCGACTTTGTTGTCATCTTTCGGAGTTAGCGGATGCAATCATCATTAGAGATCAGGCTCGAGCCATCTGAGCAGCCAACTCCAGAGTTCTTCCGCTGATCTAGTAGCTCCGGCATCGCTGAGTATATCCAAGAATTTTCTCTGCTGCCTCATACACTGATGTTCTCAGCGACGACCACTAGTTACTGCCTTCTCTGTCGGCTCGGGTCGTAAAACAGGAGCAGATTTCTCTATTCAGGGCCGTAACAGTTCTGAGTTGCTGGATCAAGACGTCTGAGACGTGACATTTTTGACACGAAGGAGAGGCGGGCTTTCAACTGTGTACGGACGACGACATGGTCCGTCACATATATGTTACCAGTTTCGGTACCACGCAACGATCTGCTATCGGGAACCCGGCTACGAAACCTTGAGCTGACCAGCATGTAGTCACTCTGACTGACCGTTTAACCGTTGTTTGAATACAAAGTCAGCAGATGTTTGTTGCGATGCTGGAAGCACGTTTTTTGTGGCAAGCAGTCGGTTCTTACCAGCGACGTTCAGCAGTATCTCGCATTGTTCACATTGAGAGCCGAGTCCAAAGTGACCAATAAGGTGCCTGTTTGTAGAGTCGCCATGTCCATTTCGACCATTTCAAGCCCCAGCAACAATCTGGAGATCGCGACGAGGGTGTCTTTCAACGAACGCTTGTAGCTGACAGTAAAACGCCGCCTTATCGCGCAGTTAGGCAGCCGAAGTCGGCTGTTAGACGTCATCGGTCAGTCCCACTCACCCCGACGTATGCAGTCTTCCCGTGGCTCAGACCCATGACCTGTTAATTAAAAAGTTCAACACTCTAACCATTGGGCCAGGGCTCTTTGTCCCGTCGGTTGCGAATAACTATATAAACAGCGGTAGAGAGGCGCACTCGACAGAAAAACTAGCCCTTGGCTTAATGGTTTGAACTGTGAACTTCTATCCAACAGATCGCGAGTTCGAGTCTCGGGTGTTGCATACCTCGGGGTTAGGTATGGCTGACTGATGGCAGCTAACAGGCCACAAGTGGCCGCTCCGGTCTGCCTCGTCTTTGTCGGTAGACTATTTTACCTATACCATGCGCCGCTGTGCGACTGCTGTCGGGGCTCGAGAGAGAGCCCCAAGGCGCCACGGGACGAGTGACTTTCGTGACGCGATCGGTGCTCGCCCCTCTGTCATTAAGGAGATGGTTACCCTTCTACTGACAAGGGACCCTGGACGGTTGCCATGGGCAAGGAGTCTTATGTGCCATTGGCAGTCAGAGGATCCTATAAGCTAGTAGGCGCAACAAATCGGTCGGAACACATGAGCCCTCACGAGAGTGGCAGCGCTGACCACAGCTGCCATTGATGCCAATGGTACACATGCCAGGAGTGCCACTAAGCCCCATCGTTCCACTATCTAGCGCTCCATCTTTTGGGCTGTCAAAGTGGCTTTACCAACGACTTTGTTTCCTCACCAGGGATTCGGAGTTGACAGTGAAATCGAGTGGAGAGTTTTGAAGCGCATTCGACATTTAAAAGTGGAGGCTGATGGCATTGTGGTGGCGTTTGACGTGATTTCGTTATTTGCCTCTATTCCATCCGGCCTAGCTATCGACAGATTTCTGGGATAAAAGTATGATGAGACCTGCAGCGTGTGCTGCCCGGGCTGTCAGGACATCATGCCACAAACGCGTGACAAGCGAACGTTCAAGGTCATGTACCCCTGTTCACACCTTTGTGCTAATTAGCCACCAGCCAGCCTATGACATTACCCCCGGCCATATACCCGGCCATCTCCACAAGACCGACAATATCACAAGCGAATGAACATCATCGAGCTTCCGCAAATATGTCTTAAGACTGCCCTCACATTCAGCAGCCGAGTTTACGAGCAAGAGTGCAAGACGGCGATGGTCGCGCCTGTGTCCAAACGAAGCGGTTTTGCAGGGACACGGGCGTCTGACCTTCGGCTTGTACACCCCCCCCCTCTAACTTGGGGCACATACACCTAACTTTCGTACACAACCAACGCCGCCGTGTCTTACGGCAGCCCAGTCAGAAAGACAGTCCTGCACATACGGTATGTGGGATAACTAATGAAATTTCAAATGAAATTCCGAATTGTGTTTTGGCTTCAGAAAGATTAAGTAGGGTTGTAAAAACTAATCCGTCTGCAGTAAAATTCTATAATAATTCAATAAACTCAGGACGCCGGCGTTCGAAAGAACTTCCTTCCGTCTGCATGCAAAAATTATACCCTGAAAAAATGAGTACTTATGTAGCATGCATTTTTCTTATTGATTTTCGATGCCCATAAAAGTCTAATTATATTTTATGGAAAACATTCATAAGAACATTCATTCTTCTGGTCATTCGGTAGAAAATAACGACTCATTTTAATGTTATACTCGAAGGAAGGATGTTGTTGGGTTTCTAAAAACTTTTCCAATTCCAGAAATATTTTGAACCTGCTTTGCCGTTACACTTGCATTCGGGGTTACCAAACTACAAGCCATGTATTTTCCACGTACAAAAATCATACATTTCTCTACGGTGTTAAGAGAAGCCTATATGGGGTTCCTAAAATTTCGCAGTGGATTTGATCCATATTGTTAACTTTACAAGCCACACTGGTAAATGCAGAGGCATGACGATTTATGTATGAACGGCCATTTTACAGTATTAAAAAGTTCCACAATTAGAAACTTTTTAAAACCGAATTGTGCCCCTCCTTCGAGCAAGAAATTGAAAGAAGACGTAATTTCTTACCGAATGAGTGGAAGAATGAATATTCTTACGTATGTTTTCTATAAAATATTATTAGATTTTTAGGGGCATCGAAAATCAATAAGAAAAATGCATGCTTCTTATGTAGCCATCTTTTACAGAGTGTAGTTTCCGCTTGCAGCCGAAAGGAAGTTCTTTTGAAAGACGGCATCGAGAGATAACTGAATTATTATAGAATTAAATTGCAGACTGATACGAAAATGCATTTCGGAATTTAAGTTGACATTTCATGAGTTAGCTTACCTACTGGAACTTGTTTCATTTTGAGGAGTATTTTGGGCGACTTCAGACTGAACCCTGACCTGATTGATATTCACGACCAGATCAATTTTTGGTCATGTGTGAAACCTGTGGTCAGTCGAGGAGTCTGCTTTTTGGAAAGAACTGAAACTGAATTTATCTTAAGGCCTTTGACTTTCTCCCGCTGTGAGTAAACACTCCTGTTCTCCAGAATGACCGGATGACGAGAGGGATTATAGAGCTGCCTTAGTTAGACTTCTAACCACTCATTATTTGCACAATCTTTATGAACTTAGGAATTATTGACTTCTTCACATTCTACCCTTCTCTCGATGGCAACTTATGAATGGCCCTATTTTCAGAGGGGGCTGTTAAATTGTGTGGCATCCTTAGTAGCAGTTCATTTCAAAGATGTTAGGGACGCCTTTTGAGGTGGGACACCCAGTTTAGCAGTAAATAGATCTCAATGTGAAAGTGATAACTTCTTAAAGTGCCATTGGCCTAGCAGGATTTTAAATTCTCCCTAAACACAGCACGGACAGGATACGTTTTGAGCGAATATTCTGCTGCCTGTCGCGATGACACGACTCACAATCCCAAGAAAACTCGGCAGAACGCCCAGGTAATGTTAAGGTGAGTTTTTTCTGTAAAACACTAACTGGTACCGAGTGAAATACTAAGTTCTACTCGCCTCCTGTGTAAATCCAGGCATTTTAATAAGATGTTATCATTGTCGGGGGAAATCAGTTGATGTTTCGACTGACCCTCTTATTCAGCCGACCGCATCCCCAGCTGCGCGCCTTATCGCGGATTCGTGAGTGGAATTATGACGTGGTGACAACTGCATCCGCTAGTACACCTTCCCACGGGACGATCGGCCGGACCGACATCGTGGGAACCACGTTGGCCGCACCATGTCCTGATTTGTGTTCTTTTATGCGTTCATCGCAGACCGAAGGCGTTTCCACCCAAGCCATGTTTTGATCCTGCAGCCCTTCTCTGCCTCTCAATTTCCTCCCTGTCGAATCGAGCCATAGCCAGACTTTTTATCCTGTTACGCGCCTTCATACCCGCGGCTGTTATTTAAGGATGAGAGCGTCGAATAATTTGAGCAGGTCGATTTAGTTGAGGATTATGTGAATGACCGGGGAGTGAATAGGGTTGTCGATAAATCGAGGGGGAGACCGGGAGGGGTGGAATGAGAAAAGGAAAGGGAGGAGGAGGAGGAGGAGGAGGAGGAGGAGGAGGAAACTGAAGTTCGCGTTCAGTCTACTCGTCTGCGAGATTGTTATGCTTCCTTATTCTAATCTTGTGCAGAGCACTGCTTTGTTTTATTAGCTGCTCTTAGTCCCCATAAAATCTGACAAAACATTCGGTTTTATTTGAGGTGGCAGATGCCCAGAGGTTTTACCTCTGATGTCTGTTACTTTAATTTGTCTTAACTCATCCAGTGCATCACGGGACGCGAGCAGAAATGTGAAACCACTCTCATATGTAAGAGCTGTTGTGTTAGTGAGCCGTCCTTTAAAGCACTTGAACGGGGAGGTGCAACACTGGAACGCTGGACCACGCAGAGGCGCCCCTACCTACTCCCCCCCCCCCATCACCGCCGTGGCAGAAATCATGTGACGGGAGCAGGGGACGAGGCTTACAGTAGGTGGGTTCTCGCGTGAAAGTCTCTGTTTATTTGTACAAGTCCCAGCGCGTGAGCCGTGGCCGGATCGTCGATGCGCAGTAATAATGTAAGGTCTGGGTACCTCCATTTCACATCACCGTGAGGGAAGCTGACATGGGAGGGGGTGGGGGCATTCGACATTGGTTCTAAACTTCCAATCCCATATTTGTCCCTCATGTATGTCTAAACCTTGAAATGGGTAAATATCGGCATTGACAGGAAGCTCTTTGGTCATCCCGTAGCAGAACAATTCAGTAAAGCCAGTTCTAAAGCTACCGCTCTTCCATTACCGCTAGTTGGAGATTTTGCCTGAAAATCATTGGTCCCGTGTTTATCAGACAATGTTGGTTGGGCGTTTTAGAAGCATAATTCTCTGCATTTGTCAAAAAATGGTTGTTTAGGAATCTCGTCGTGAAGTGTATCAACTACATTTCCCTATCTCGGGGGCTTTTGCGGGGGAGTCACAGTTCGTGCTTTTGTTCTAACAAATTTCATATATGACAGGTCGTGTTAACCTGCTTTATCACTTCATTTCATGACCTGAGAACCCCAAAATTAACAAAACACGCAGATGACACAATAACCGGCTACTTAAATCTGAAAGATGTAAGGACCTTGGGTCGCCAGTAGGAACTGCCTGAAATCCGAGCGCATAATCCGCTTCCAATGGTACTGTTTCATGCCCTACTTCACCTTTCATTTCCAAAATAACAAGTGTCCGCGTTAAAAAGCCGTCAGTCACTACTTTACCCAGGGATTAAATTCATCAGTACACACGCGTTCGCTGTTCTTTGCCCTTAATCTGGGCAGGATATCTAAATTATTTAGGGATTTTTGAAATTTCTAAACATCCTCTGAACTTAATCCGTCCCATCACCAGAGCTCCATTGAGAAGAAGACATTGCGACAAATGTCTCGCCTTCCTGGTCTTCTCTGAAAGAGCGAGCAGTATGTACATCTGAGGTAACTGGAAGTATGTACTCGCTCGCAACAGTAGTGAATGCGCCGACACAATGTTTTATGAACGGGCACATCAGAGTCTTAAAACGATTCGTAATCAGAAAATTTTTAAAACCGAATTATACCGTCCTTCATGTATGAACTTCGAAGGAGACGTAAATTTCAACCGAATTATTAAAAGAAGGAAGATTTTTATGCACGTTTTCTGTAAGATACATCTGACTTTATAAGGGCATCGAAAATCAGTGAGAAAAGTTCATACTGCCTAAGAAATCATTTTTACAGAATTTCGTTTTTTACAGGCGACCGAGAAGTTCGTTCTAAAGTAGGGATTATGCCGCACAATAATTAATATTATAAACCTAGTTAAGAAGTCTTTTCGAGTCGAAGATGCACTTCAGGATTTCTGTCAACACTTAACGGGTTAGCACATCTACCGTACGCTACAAGTCCGAGAGAAGGTTAATTTATGGCTTATGTCAGGGCCAGGGTTAGGGTTCAGACCAGGGTCAAAGTTTTGAGAATTAGGGTTAGGGCAACGACACGGGAAAATACACACCTTGGAATTTGGCGCAAGACCGCCTGTAATAGGTGGGAGGGGATCTTTTTCCCATGTCCAACTCAAATCTGTCGAGTAACACGACCCACGAAGACAATAAGAACCAAGACCGCGGAATCTGCCTTCGTCATCATCATCAATCAGGCAGGCGCAAGAGACTTTCAAGTTGAAACTGGGTTCAATCGGTCGGCGCGTTCGTCCAGGGTTATAAAAATGGAGACAAGGCGTGCGTTTTTGCCTTTATGCTCTGCCCCAGAGTTCCCACAATTCGAAGCATGGCAATGAGCAATGGACAGAACTTAAACTACTTATTTCCAAGGGAAAAAGGCAACGTCCGTAGCCCACGTTTCGGCCAGGATAGATCGGTGTTTATTGCGGTTACTGTCCTCTGTCAGCTAGCTTTGGTACTCTTCAGTCGTGACAGTTTCGCCCGAATTTGCCGTTGGAGTCCTCGAAACTCGCAGTCGTGGGTCAGTGCCTACGTCCAGTTATAACAGTGTTTGCAAGTGTCATATGTCATCGTAAAAGTTTTTGATCACGATGTGTCTTCCTCCAGCAGCAGGAAGCAAAACTTTCGACAGTCCATCATGATTTGGATTGAGTGTGTTATGGGCGCGAAGTTGGAATATCAGAGTTGTCCTTGACGGACAAGTGATAGTGCAAGATGGCGCTCAGTTATGGCTATGAAGCATCTTTATGCATTTTTCAGGACAGGGCAGGAGTCCTTAAACGGTTAGGAGTACATACGCAACTGCGTCACCTGATTCCTCCCCCACCCATTGACTACTCTCCGCTTCACAAACACTGATTAGTTTTAAAATTCCATGTCGTTCATTTGTACACCAGCTTTCTCCTTACTCCCGTCAAGGCTGTTTTGGATTTTCTCGGTCCTAAGAAAACTCTTCTCACTAGACCGTATACCAGCCGCCTTTCACAAATTGCTTTCACGAGGCGTCCTAAGGAAGAGTGCGACAAATTGCAGCAATCTGACAGTGATCATCTGAATTCGCATAGGTGTCTCCGTGGTGTCCAAAGTGCCCGGCAGGCGACAATTTTATTTGTCCGTTTTCTAATCTTCCTCTGCCGCGAAACGAAAGAGCCTCCGGACTTCCAAATGGTCAGCGGGCCTCGTAGGTCCATGCAGACGCGGAAACAAGGACAACTATTATTAATTTAACCTTCCTTCCACTGAGTTCAGCTTCTCTTTAGGTAACTTACCATCAGCATGAAATGCCACCTGTCCGGCGATTCGATTCGACGGCTATTGTGTCCGCGATTATCTCATAATAGTAGGTCTTCCAGTGAGCAATTTAATGAAAGCCCATATTGCCCCTCTTTCGGTGTGACTTAGCCAAATTACCTCTACTAGCCTCCACATATTCGATAGCCTATCAGCAGGCTTTAGGCCCAAGCTCCAAGCTTTCAACGCACATTGGGGAAATTGTTTGTACGGTAGGACACAGGATTAGCGACCTCCCCCGTAATACGGGTGACCATCCGTTAAATTCTAGGGAGATTTAGTTAAGGCTAAGGTTCGGGTTAGGTTTAATTTTACGGTAAGAACTAAGGCACACAAAAAGATACTCTCCCTGGAATATGGCGCAAGCCTACCTCTATTGCGGATGTCCTAGTTTCGTTCTGACCGTCAGAGAACGACCATTTTATGTCAAGGCAGCTCAAGGACAGAACGACCAACACATGAGGCATGGCGTTCAGATGTACACCCCATCAGTAGGTATCTTGCCTCCCCCCTGCAGCTTATAAAGACTTGAGTCATTTCTAACACGGAGGCGAGAACAAGACGGTCACATACAACTTACGAAAACCGAGCAGACACGGCTTGACGAAAAAATCTCCCGGCGGGTGAGAAAAATATCTACCAGACGGATCAACCTCCACGCACGCTGTTGTCGTGTCGGTCAAATACCCGCCGGACGGCAGACGCAGCGAAAGAAGAAAAATATCGACTGGCCCAAGCGCGACCAACTCGACACATCAACGCTTAACAACGGTGAGCCGACTGAGCTCTGCGAAATCTCGACGGTTCATTATGTCTGTTTCGATGAGTCCTTCCTCTCAGAAAAACGGATGTGCTACCTCGTATTGTTTAGAAGACTTCGCCGTCATACCTCTTGGTTTAGAGACGGGGCAATCTTTATAGACGGACGCATTCGTTGTAGCCCGCCCTCTACCACCGGCCCTGAAGACGATCATCTCGTTGATGTCGTATCGCAACTGGTATTCACTGCCTAATTCGTCCAGAAGCCTGCTGGACTACTCATTTTCTATTAACTGGCGGAGGGCTTACTTCGTTCGACCTAAAATATAGGTTAATTATCATCTACTTATGGTCGCGAAGCTACATGAGCCGCAAAGATGGGAAAATTTCGATCAGATGTGGCTATAAAGAAGATGACGACCCGATCCCTGGGAAAGTAGGTTTATTAGTCTGAGCTTTCGGTCTCGTACAGGAGGCCATCGTCAGGGACTGAGAATGCGACATCAAACAGGACAAACCGGACGACGACTTAGCTCACGAATAACGGAGCACAAACGGGCGGTCCGGAGAGGCGACCCGTTGTCTCAGGTCGCCACTCACACCCTGGAGGAAGGCCACGAATTCAACTTTGCGAGCACACGGATAGTGGCGCGGGCCAACAATAAGACAGGACGAGAACTGTTAGAGGCCTGGGTGTCTGACACCAACTCTACCAACAGGCAAGTTGACATACCTCCCTGCTATCACGCGCTCCGTTCCCGCGGCCAAGAGGCGAGACGCAATTGCCAGCCAAGGGTGCACGCAGTCACGCCGCCGTGAGACTGCGTGGGACTCAACTTATCGTGAATACCACCCTCTGCACTCATATCTCTCCACCCCCCCGTTCGTGGCTTGACTACAAAAACCGCTCATTTGATGTCGCATTCTCACAGTCTCTGACGATGGCCTCCTGTACGAGCCCGAAAGCTCAGACTAATAAACCTACTGTCCCAGAGATCGGATCTTCGTCGTCTGTACAACAAGAACCTGGGATTCGCATATTCGCATCCATCCGAGATATGGTTATGTAGCCGCACCTGAAGTAAACAAACCCCAGTCACATGTAATATGGGACCCATGGTAATGGGGGTTTTCGCAGGTGGGGCCTGGAAACGCACAGGCTACGAGGTCAAGTAATTGTATGCAAAAAAGCAATTGGGAATGCGCGGTTGTACTTTGAGTGGTTGATAAATAGTTGTCCTAACCCCTAACCCCCAACCATAACTCGTAAACCCAACCCCTAACAGCATTGTGTTCATAAGGTGCGGCTGCACAACCATATCGTACCAAAATTTCCTTGCACTAAGGAAACTCAACCACTACCCAGTCTCGAAAGAGCAAAGCTCCAAGTGGATAAATCGCACACTCTGAAGCGCTGGACGAATCACTTCGGGGCAGTCTGGGCTGCCCACCCTGGCTGCAAGGCTGTATCCAATATGTCCAGGGACGAAGTACCAGGATCCGACGCGATCCCGACCGAATGGCGGCCGTCGACTGACGGACAAGCAGAAGACGTGGACAAACCCCCCACAGAGGTTCGGTGAACATAGTGAGATCACGTCGTGTGTCGCAGGCGTAGACGGACATTTTGACTCTGCGCCCGATCCCACAAGGCCCGGATGGATGAGGTAGGAGGGAGTACGAAAGACGCTGCGAAAGTCTGGTATCACCACTGACTAATTCACGCATAGCCCACCGGTGCTGTCCTTACTTCGTGGGGCACGCGGTTGCCATCGTCATTTGAGACGGTCGGGTTGACGTTTATGGTCAACTAATAGTGGCTCGGCGACATCCGTCATTGTGCACTCTTCAACTTGACAAAACTGTCGGTCTAACTGGACACTCTAGCAACCACATAGGGTTTATGTTGTTCCTTCTTATGGTTTGATTTAATTTTCCCGCTTCACTGTCATGGTGATTGGATGAGTGTACTTTTGGTTAAAAATTATAATTCCGTCAGAATAAGTGCAGAATCTGGACATAACCTTAGCATCAGTACAAACGGAAGGGCGATTTCGAGAAATTTGTTGGGTTTCTTGTCGGCCAAGCAGGCGTCATGTGCAGCTCCGGGTCGTCACGATAAACTGTCAGAAAACAAAACCAGCTCGAGGTTAGTTTGTCCAGAGGACAATGAGTCGATGTAGGTTGGAGGTCCCGACCTCGGTAACACGATTCTGCGAGGACTATGAACCGCGCGTCACTTGTATCGTGACCTGTAATAGCGCCTTGAGTGCCCTCCCCAGGCGACGCTCCGAATAGACGCCATGCCAACAGTCATAAAGGAGGGACCTTTGGAGCCATTCATACTCTCCCCCCCCACTGTGCGAACGAATGTTATTTCAAGCTCCCCTCCGGAGTCTCTGATTGCCTTGACATTCCTGCTGTTAGCGGCGGCACCTGGCGTGGCCATCGGGCGCTCTCCCCCCTCCGTAAACGGGGGGAGGTTGGGGGTTGGTAAAGCACGGGTTGCTGTGTGCAGAAGGCAGTGATTACGCGAATGGCGTGGCGCTGTCTGTTGGGATAGGTGCTGCTGCCGTTCCACCGGCCAGTGCTGACAACGCCACCAGTGGGGGGCAGGGGTGTGGTGACGTAGAGGAGACTGGGCCGCTGCAGCCCGATGGGCGGGGGGGTGTTACTAGGCCCTATTATGACGCCGTGAGCTGACGGCGGCGGCAGTACCAGAGGGCAGCTGACCGCCAGGTGGGACCACAGTGCCGACTAGACAAAGCTGATAATCGGGCCCATACGCAAATCACGCCTTACTTGGCTCGCGTGGGTGCAATTCGAGCCATTAGTAGGAGCCTCTGAGATGCACGCGTGATATGCTAGTGCATATATTGGGCCACGCGAGTACTGAAGGTGCATGCATGTAATAGGAGACGCACAAGAATACGGACACTGACGGCAATGCCGAAGACTAAATCGACACCGACTTGGCTTGTCCCGATCTGGCATGGTCGTGGATGTTGGAATGCCACCCTATTCAAAGCTCTGCTGAAATGCTTGCCTACACTCTCCTGAAGACACGAAAACGCTACGATTTTTTAGGAGACAGAAGGTACAATGTGGATTTGCGTTACGGTTAAAATAAACCAGTTGAAATCGCACTGGACCGGGATCTATGAATTTGAATTACAGACGGGGAGTGTCCGGCCAGACCAGTGAGTGGCACTGTCACGTGACTTCGAATATTACCGATCGTGGCGGACAGTGCGTAAACCCCGCGGTTAAAAACTGGTGGAACGGCAAATACAGCGACCAACTGGGTTCGCACTCCCAATTTCCCCGTGTCCGTAAATAAACCTGAAACGTCCATTGTAATCTTGTCCGGAAAACTCTTGGGGACGGCCTTTTGCTTAGTGGGAAGGATGAAAGAGTGGGGTCGATATTGGGGAGCCCGTCGCTGTGGTGCGTATGCGCATTCCTCACAATAAAAATCTGACGCCCGTTGAAACCTTTACGATGCGCTAGAAGTTGTGGTCACCTGACTGAAAAACTCTGTCCTCGCGGTCGGCGCTGTGTGACTGAGTCGAGAACTGGGGGTCAGACTCAATGACTCCGTCACAGGCGTAAGATCCGAGCTCCCCCTACTCTGGGAAGCGATGCTGCGTTTTGCGGTGAACCAGATCCTGTAGCCGGGCTGTTTAGCTTTTGCAGCCACTGTGCTCGAGTCCATTTCCGGTATTTTCGGCATTGTATCGCCTTTGATAGGGGAGAGTGCGATAGGTGCTGTGGAAGTCTGCCACACTAAAAACTAATTCGAGCACAAATCGCCGGTGTTGCCTCCCTGCATGGGGTACATGGTGGACATCGTCGCTCGTGACAGTCGAACTCCCTCCCTAGCTTATTGGTAGCCGTATCCCATTTGCCTCAATGTATTTGTTGCCCAGCGTTCGACTCGGGGAAATGACTAACAGGCGACAGTTTATCCTACTGTCACTTAGGAGGCCCCGATAGCTTTTCCGAGGGTATGAGAAACTTAAACAACCTTTTAAAACTGACAGCCCTCTTTACCTATGCATTCGGCGAGATACATGATATATCAGGTTGAGATTCCGACGGTACTGAGCGGATGAGCTGATTTTGTCACATTGGTGTCTCGTAGACATAGATGATGTGAAGGACGTTAATGAATCTGCTGGCCTAGCAGTCAGACTGAAAAAAGACTCAATTCATCTGAAAATCCATTCCTAGTAGAGACAAAACGGTCTTGCATCTGCAAATGAGGGATAAGAACCAGTTCCGGAGCCTTGAGGCCACCTCTACTACCAATTATTAAGAAAGATCCCTATCCGTGACTTGCTAACCCGAATGGGTTTTACGGAGCGGAACCACCGTGGGCAGGGCATCCATACTAGCATACGAGTTTACATGGCGCCTTGGGGCATGTGCGTTGCCATATTTAGCCCTGTCCCAGTATCTGATGCTTGACCGGATCGCACAGTGGACTGATGCGTGGCACAGAATGAGGCTGACACCGCGGAATCCATTCCTACAACATTTTTCAGTTTAAAATGGCTGAAGCCCTTTGAAATTAGCCCAGCGAAGTTAAAAGTTGAAACTTGGAAGACTGCCAACTGACAGGGTTAGTCGGTCCTGCTTGGACAGAGAGTCATGCTAAAAGACTACTTCTATAGCGTTCCCGTTCAGAGGGGATCCGAGCCGTTCACTTGCTTCTGAGTAAACCCGGTCAGTCGCTCGTTGACTAGTTCGTGCTGGGCACGCGTAGACAGAATGTTTAACTGCTTTCGTCCGAGTCCGTCTCCGGTCTTTCTTATGCGTCCAGCCCACGTGTGCGAGGCGGGAGAGAGCGAGACAGATGCGTTGAAAGTCTGCTATGGCTACAAACCAATCCACGCGCCTGTCACCGACCTGCGCCCGCTATCGTCGTGTGTGACAGTCAAACTGACGGGTGATGTTGGAGTGTCGTTGCACGAGACTGATCTCGTTAAACTGACTGTTTGTCTGGCGTCGGCTAATAAGCCAGAAATAGCCATTCCAGTCTCTAGTCTTTGTCGGTAATAACATACTGCCTATAACACGCGCCGCTGTGCATTTGCTGGTTGGGCTCGAGAGAGAGTCCATAAGGCACAACGGAACGAGTGACTTTCGTAAGAACGATCGGCGAGCGCCCCCTACAATCATTAAACTTCTCCAGCTTCGAAAACAGTGATCGGCAGAGATACTGAAAGACATAATTCTAAAAGAATGCAAGGTGGGCAAATGAAGGGACTCAAGCACAACTTAGGCCGCCATTAAAATGGATAAGTTACCATAGCATGAAATCTGCAAGATGATCACCAGTGCATAACGAAATCGAGACGACCACTTGAAGACCGTGTTGGTTACTATCTTCTACAACTTCGAACGGATACTACGTTCCCGACCGCGATGATGATTAATACTGAAAATAAGGCTGACTGGTCATTGACTGCCGCGCGTAAATGAAAACAACTGTACTGATAACTATTTTGATTATGGAAATCAGCAAGTTTCAGAACACGGCCTTTGCGTGTAGAATGATTCAGTGGGCTGAACATATGTGAGGCCAGTCACGGAACAAGCGTTCAGCATAACAAACCAAGCCTATCTGACAGGCGCAATGTCGCAGATCGAATTAAAATTAGTGCACTAAATTCAGTGGTTGTCAGTCAGAACTATTTGGTTGCCAGGACCAATTTACTGTCCGGGGAGGAATATTAGGCGAAAGAGAAGGTAAGGGGATGTCGTTTGAACTATTCTGCCCTTCTGTAAAAAGTACACCATTCTCTTTTTTCATACCTAATTGGACTAAAGAATGCTGTCGCTCCAGATAAAACTCCATTAGACCGATAAATGAACCAGTGGGTATTGTGGAAGGCAATTCGAGTGTATGAGACCGTCGACCTTTGACCGACAGGTGACGATGTGTGAAACAACTAGTTCTGTCATCGGTGGGACTACTGAAGTTATTAGCCAGACCTCAGATAGTCTCGGTGCTGTTGAATGTGAATTTAAATATTCTCTCTCGCAACCGGTAAATCAGGTCCACTGACTCTGCTGGCAGAATGTTAACCTCAAAGGCCTCCAGTTGAAACCTCCCTTCTTCCGACCTGTGTTCAGAGTACAACTGTCCGATAACAGCTAATAGGTCAGAAATGGCCTTTCCGGAAGCGCGAGGGCGCTAGATCGCCTTTAATCGCTCCAGCAGCAAGATGTGATGCTCGTCAGTTTACGTCCTAACGACGAAGCTGAGACAACCGTTTGCAGGAGGGCTATGAACACCATGCAACTCCTCCGTTTTTAGAGAAACCATCCGGTGGTCCACAAACGATTCAGGAAATGGCCAAGCGCATTGCTGCGGACTAGGATTCAGTCCGAAAATTAAAGACCGAGTAAGTGCCAAGGGCGGTGCCTAAACTGCCCTTGCAACTACACAGGCCAGCCTATATGCATGGGGGGGTCGCGCACACATGAGCGTAGGCAGGATTTGTCAGTACACATCGCAAGTGACTGCTCGCACCTTCGAAACGGGTCAAATTCGCAGTATTTATAATCGCCCACAGCGAGAATCTACCAAAGCATGAGTCTCGCCTGAGAAGTCAGTCAACCGATACATTAGTCTGGCTTCTCCATACCCGTAGACCTGAGTCAGTGGTCGATGATCAGTTAACACCCCACTGGACTATTGCTTGTTCTGTTGCTGCTGTCGTCTCTAACGATGAACTTCTGCAGGAATTCGGAAGCTCGAAATAATAGACGAATCGTTCCGGTGCTCCACCAGTAATTTCCTTACTCAGACGGACTTTGTTCTCCAGCTGAGTTGCTCCGTTAATCGCCCCCCCCTCCCCCTGCACCAGTCAGTTCATTTTTTCGGATCGGTGATAGCGACCAAATATTAATATAGTAAAAAAGTTGACTTGGGCATATTTCAAGGGTCCTGCTTTCTGTAGCAACGCCCATGGGTGCAGGAAAATCGCTTTGATATTTTCCCCTTCTGGAATTTGGCTCGAGGCAACTTGTATAATGGAGGAAGAGCATTTCTATTCCCTGTTCTGACGCGGGACGGGGAAGGGGGAATATGAACGATTCCGACCGAGCAGTCTTCAATCCAGCCTCCAGGGAAAGAAGACAACTCGCCAGAGAAGACTGCCGCATTTTTGCCTTAAAGCTACCTCCTGGGAACTATCGGTACTGTAAACGGTGCAGAAGTCGTCCACCCCTTTTCATCAACTGTACCAATAAGACTTCCCGAAAAAAAACAAGAAAACTGGCACTGCAATGCGTTTAATTATGAAAAAAGCAAGTACTTTATTTGTCCACTTCACCATGGCCTCCATAAGGACCTTTTCCGAGGAGAGATACCTTTGTCTACACTTGGCTGTGGAGTACGCTCCTCATTCAAGGCGAGACGCTCCGACGACGACGAATGTGGCGATGTTGTCGTCGCAGTCTGCAAGGGATGGTTAATTTCCGGTGACTGTGGTGTCTCCACCGCCGCCGCCGATGCGGACGGCGCTGCGGTACTACTCGAGACAGAATCAAAACGGCGACACTGATTTGCGAGCATCATGGAGGTGGATGACTCGTGGTCTGGGAGTCGCTGAGGGTGCGCTGGGGGACACAAAGAGGGCTCGAGTGAGCGTAGGAAACTGGCAGCAGCTGGTTGACGCTGTTTGTCCAGCAGGCAGAGCAAGAGAGGCAATAGGTCAGTTGGCAGCGCTCGACGCAGGCAGTCGTCTGCGAGTTGGCGTTGAGTTTGGAAGAGGTCTCTGAGGACGGACTCACAAGCAGTGTATCCCGCCATAAAACTGATCCACTGGGCATTTTGTGTCCAGTTAGCTGACTGGTTGGTGAGCTTTTTACTTCCTGTTGGCAGGACGGAAATTGGGTGTACACTAAATGAACTGAAAACTGCAACATTTACGCATACTTATTTCTTTAATTTTTGAAGAAAATAGGTTCCTGTTTTTCACTTAAATAATGGTAGTTTTAACGCAATTTACGCAAGAGCCTCCGCCCACTATATATAAAGTTAGCCAGAGGTAGGTGTACCCAATATTTCACAAATACCTAAAATCACAAATATTTACTGTGGTCGTTATATCGATCCCATGATTGGAGTAATAACTTAAACAGGCTTGCAGTACCGACTGTTTTGAAGTATTTTTTGCACAGTACGTGTGCTGTGATATGGAAAGTTAACCTAAATTTTTCAATGTGTCTTCTATTAGAAAATATTACCTAAATAGGACCAAAAGACTACTTGACGCACAACATAATCACAAAACACTTCAGTCATATCAGAATGTCCGCTTTCAAATGAGCTTGCTTTCGAATAAGCTTCCCTCCGGCCACTTGCAAAAGCTAACTTTTATGAGGATGATCACGTAAGTAATAGGCATTTTTCGCATTGATTTTCGATACCCTTATACATTCGAATACACATTATGGAATAGATGAGCAAATACTTTGTCCTCTGTTCATCTGGCAGCAAACTGCGTTTTTTCAAGTTTTATACTTGAAGAAAGAACATTTTTCGCTTTCGAAAAGTTTCTAATTATGAGATTTTCTAGGAGTGTCAAATGGCTACCCATAAAGCATCGTATCCGTTCATTTACCAATGCTGTTTGTTAAGTACGCAACATGGTCCAAACACATTGCAAAATTTAACAAGCCTCAAATGACATCTTCCTTACAGAGAAGATGTGCAGTTTTTAGTTTGAAAACACTGATCGCAAGTGCAACGGCAAGTCAAGCCCAAAAATATTCGGGCATTGAGAAGGTTTTTATCACCGAGAGTCTTCGCGCAAACAACTGTGTGCAGGCGTCTTACTTCTACTGACAAAAGGCGCCGGGTAATCGAGTTTCATTAAAACCCTGTTGGATACTTGTGTTTACTTACGGGATAATAACGATCTACTTGATTATTTTTTTGAACAAAACATAGGATTGGTATTTTATCAACAGTGGAAACGGGTAAACACGCTGACTGTGTTTCTAACATAACTAAATTCCTTAAGTAGCAAAATGCCACTAGAATAAAGATGGCTCTCTTCACGATGATTTCTTTGAACTATCCTTTACACAAGCAAAGGAAGTCAGTGAAACGATGCACACATACAAAATAAGCGGCACTTTTTTCCAAAAAACTTGCTTCCGCGTCGGTTAATTCAGCAGTCCCACTTAAACAATCTTTCTGTATTTATAATAGCTCCTGAATACCTCTGTACCGTTGCTTTACAACTAGACCTGAGTAACTGAGCAAATTTCACGTAGGACGAGAGCTTCTCTCCATGATGGAACTTGTAAGCGCCTTACTGTAGGTCAAACGAATTCAACCTAAAGTCAGTATCCGAACGCACGCTATTTGTGGGGGTGAATACATTTCGCATTTTGACATGCACCTGGCCTTCTTAGGATACGGGAATAGGAACCATCCCCTTCTCTCCCCACCCCCGTAATTCAGGTGACCTTACGCAAAATTGCGAGGTTATCCTCTCCCGAACCTTGACTCTAGTCCTTCCACTAATCCCAATCTCTCGGGTATTATGCGCAAGGCTACATGTATTACGGGGAATCCCTATTCCTGTGTCCTACCTGAAATTAATACTAGGCGGCTGCAGTTTCCAGTCGGAAGGCTTCAAGTACAGATGAGAAGCAAATCGGGGCTGGGTTTTTGGATTTAATTTCCCTGCTTTGCACTGATCTCAAAGAAAATATGCACAATCTGCTACTAATAAAACAAAATGTAGGTCGCAATGAAGAATACTAGGGGAAACTGTAATTTCTGCATTTTCTCTGTCCATGGCTTATTGTTTCAGATGGTGTCCATGTGGAAAGTCTGGAAGGCAGACATAAAAATCGGTTTCGTATAGACGAAAGCCTTCGTTTATTCCCATCCGCCGGTTAGTCGGATGTGGTTATGAGGCCGCACCTGAGGTAAGCAACCCGCAGCCGTCTTTAATACTGGACCGGCGGTAATAGGTTTTTTACAGGCGGGCCGGGAAACGCACAGGCGACGACGTCAAGTACTTGTATGCAAAGGAAACGCGATTGGGAATGCGCGGTTGTACTTCGAGTGGTTGAGAAATAGTCGCCCTAACATTAAACCCTAACGCTAACCTCTAACCATAACCCCTAGCTCTAATCTCTAACTCTGACCCCTAACCATAGCCCCCTAATCCTGGACTTCTAACCCTAACCCCCAACAGTAGTTTATCCATCAGGCGCGGCTACCTATGCTCCGCTAAGGAAGCATAGGTGGTATCGTTAAAGGCTGCCAAAATTTAGAGGAGTTCATGGAGTGAGTAGATGAAAGTACTGATTTTCCTGCTGACAGCAGGGACTGCATGAAAAAAATTCGGTCAGACACGGGAATTTGACGTCTCTCATATTACAGGTGGCCTCGTCCAAATTCCGAGGGGTCAGGGTTGGGAAAGTTACTGTTTAACTAAAGACAAAGGAATAGGTACTCCTGAGAATTCAGCGCAAGACCAGCCGCTGTACGGCGGGTCTGTATTTCCGTATCTGACTTACAATTATCTGCACAGACTCCGAAACTCACTTGTGATGCAGTCGAGCACAAACTTGACAGTCAGGTCCAAGATGTCTGCTTTCTCTAATTTCTGGGCATTCTGAAATCACAAAAGATAGAGTCGGTAGTTAGGAAAAAAATAACTACCTCTAAAATGAATAAATATGATATTAAACCCTCAAGGCGTTACTTTTGACGGTATTTCCCCCTTCTGCCTCTTCCCCCCACCCCCCACCCCCACGCTCCCATGGTCTACTTCCGCATGATAGTTCAACTTATTCTTTGCAAACGATGTGGTCTACCGGTGGAAGTCACTTGAGGCAGGAAAGTATCAGGCCCGAGGTAAGCAGCGTTGCCTTCACATTACATTCATTTGATCCGGTTGATAAAAACTCGGCGGCCTCGATGGCATTCGAACGCGATAGTTCGACTGTCGGGTTCGACGAAGTTCACCATGTGCTCCAGAGTAGGCTGAGTGTGGACGGTGACCTGTTCGTGAATTATTTTATGATGACGACAGACTTGCACTGCATCCACCGCACTCTCCCATGTCCCACCTCAGCCCAGTGTCATGACCAAGTTGAGAAGAGCAGGAGTGGAAGAGGCCAAAGATGGCTGGCAGGGCGAAAGGCTGCACCTAGGCGTACCATCACATCCCCTGATCCATAACAAACACTTGAACAGGATTTTAAAAAACGACAGCAGGGATCCCAGTTGGTGTGACATTAGACGACAATTGGGCCTGTACTTGTACTTGATACGGCTGCGATCATGCCTGATCTAGCCGGCCTCGATGATGCCCCGAACTGTACCTCTCCACGCGTGACGATCTGCGGCAGCAGATCTGGACAGCTCAACCCATTCCCTCCACCAACGACGGAGACCGAATACCGAAGGCACAAGAACCACCTCCATGTCTTGACGAACTGTGTCGAGTCAGGTTTCGAGCCTCCGATGGGGCAACGGTGCTGGATCGAGAGCAGTAACACTGACCTCCTGATGAGGACGACGAAGAACATGCCCGAACCACCTCAGTAGTCTTTCTTGGATGGCCTGAGTTATCCTAGCGATGCTGTCGCAGCGAGCGTGGACTGTCCCATTCGAGACGAAGTTCGTGAACTTCACTCGAAGGATGGTCCTTAAGCAGTGGTGGTCAAATACCTCCAGTTTTCGCTCGTCCTCCTCGCTCAAAGCCCAGCATTCACAACCGTAGAGAAGGACAGATGCGCGGCACACGCGAATCTTAGTGGCGATGGAGAGGTCACGTCGGATCCATAGGCATTTTTGAAGGCTTGAGAAAACCCCGCGGGCAGGGAAAACCAAGCGGGCCTGCCACCGCGCCCTGAATGTCGGCATTTGTTATGGGGTGTGCATCCCCGATAACGCCTGCACGACTCAGATCTGGCCCTCGTGTTGGTCCAGCGCGTCTCCCTCGCTTAACTTTTCAGGGATATTTTAATCCACGACAGCAGAATCAAGACTTGAGCATGGTCAACGCTCCAGCCACCTGAGCTAGGAAGACCTACCGAAACCCGTGGATTCTAAAAATACCCAATGGCGTTTCTTATTCATATAATCGTTGGATATTACCTAGTTACGCTTGTTGGCCTCGACTGCATATGAAGGTTATGCCTTTTTGGCCCCTATTGTTCTAATATGTTGTCCTTTCTTAGCAATATGGTCTCTTCTCCCAGATTCCGACTATCTTACCTCTTTAAGGAAGGGTTCGGCAACAAGGCGCTTCAGTTCCTCCAGGGCTACATTAATCCGCTCACGACGCCGTTTCTCCATTGCAGGTTTTCGCATCTGCAACATGTGTAGAAAAGTTACAATGAGATAAACCAGACAAATGTTGGTTTCTTTAAAGGTGATTGCACGCAAAGTAAAAAGGGCGGTTTCTTGTCAGAAACTGACTGGTCGCCAATACCCCAGAAGAACAGTCGTAGGACGTGTGATCTGTTTTCTAAGGGGGAGAAGATGAGTGGTGTTAGCTTCAAGTCTATTTCAAACTTGTATGATGATCCCCTAGAGGGAGATGTTTGGTTATTCAATGTGTAATGTCATGAGTAGGGTAAACAATAGCGGATTGCCTCGACTTCGTAAAAGGTGGGTCACTAGCAATGCTTTGGAGTTTGTCTTGGCCTCTTCAGGTATCCGAGGGCCGATGTTGTCCACCCTTAGCGGTGTGTGTTCTCTATTTTATGAGCGGATGGAGGCGAAAGTTTCCCGAGTCCTACCCACCTTTCCTTTACACTGGTTTTGAGAGCTGCAGCCGTGCCGTGGGTGGCCGTATCGGTCGAAACTAATAGGTGTAGCCATGTGGACAAAGGCTTGCACGGTCGTGCACTGACCGTCATTGTGTGACCGCGTGCATGTGTTTCAAACCGAAGTGTTGGGCAAAACTGAGAAGTTTTTTTTGAATTTGGCAGTCAGGAGAGCTTGATGAACGCCACTCCCATTTACTACTGCCGGCAGGTAGCGAGCTCCTGATTCAGTAGCAGGGTGCTGACACAATGAGGAACTCAGTTCTGAGGTCTAGTTATTTTGACTTGGAACTGAATTATGACTGGTAAGTAGGCCAGAAACTATCATTCCAAACAAGTTCCCCTTTAATAATTATCTATCTTCACATATGCAATCTCCGAGGATTAGAGTATCTCTAGTGCTTCGGTATAGTCAAGAATGTCTGAGGGGGCGGTCCTGTACGCGCAGAAGAATCTGTTGCACGCTCCGCGTCTACCGTAGACCAGGATCGATTAAATATATGCAGGTCTCCGCGCCCCCGCTCCCTTCCCTCCCCCCCCCCTCCTTTGTGACACGGCTCAACCTAACCCTCACTGTCACTGACTGCTTCCTTTCCTTCCCCCTCCCACTTACTCTATTCACATACCCCGTTTGTATGCAAGGGCGAATCGTAATCGTCTGTATTTATCACTCACACGTTCAGTTTGTACCTCGTTCCCATATAAATGTACAGGCCCGATGAGAATTTATCGAAAGTACGCTTGAGCTCGCCAAATGCTCTTCTGAAATGATTTTAATTTTTTATTAAAAAGCTTTATCTCGCCTGTCAATCTTTCACTGGTTCTGTTTCAGGGGTTTATTACTAACACTTTTGGTGCACAAATGCCTTACAAGCTGCCCATATGACAATGGGCGCGGTTCGCATTCAGCTGCGGCCTTAGTATAAACAAAGGTTTAAGTGTGTATTATGGAACTCTTACGGCGCGGTCTTGCTGTTAAGAAGACGGACTACCTTTGATTTTCGACAACTCATCGGTAATACCCCGATAATACCGTCATTCGACGTAGGGAAGATGAAACCTCTATAATTATCTCCATCTAGCATTTTCGCATGAACCGGTTGGCATGTTCCAGCCGTAATGCGCCGTCCGGCATAAAAACGCGATCAATATATGAAAAGGACTCACCTTCCGCTGGACACCGCAATCGGCGACAGAAGCGTACTCGCCCATTTCACCTGCCCGAGCGCGCGGATGGAGGGGCAGTTGCCTCAACATAGACGCATGACGATGAAGGTGTTGTGTTCTGCTGCTACCGCGAGTGGCTTGTTGCAGTTGGGGGAAGAGTTTCACCATCGGTAAGGCCTGCTTCCGAAATCTTGTCTCGTATTCCATTCCCGACACCGTGGACCTCACTTAATGATGCACATACCAGCCGCATTTTCGAGTCAGTCTGCGGATGCGGACGGGGAGCACAGGCGACCAACCGTTGCATTTCACGGTGGGCCGGGGCACCTTATCGCTCCCGAAGCGCTACCGATTGTGTGACCCCCCCCCACGCGTGGGCGAGGGGCGCACGCCCATCCTGGCGCGCCATCTGTACGCGCACGCGTCAAAGTGCGCGCAAGTGAGAGCGCGCACGCGCGTGCAACACGCGACACTCGGCAATGGCCAACTTACGCACGCACGGGTACACCTGCAGCAACCAATCACGTGCGGGCAATGTGAAATTATCGTCGAACCGCGCAGCCGAGGGGCGCCTTGGGAGAGGTGGCGGAATCAGTCAACCGTAGATGGCGGTTCGGCTGCGGAATGGTAAACCTGAACGTGGTGCATGACATAATGAGTAATCAGTAAACTGAATCGTTTTAGGCGGGCGCCCGCTGTAAAGGCATGGGCGACCGTAGTGAAAGTACATATCTGCCGGGCCGTATATTGAATAACTTCCGCGTGAATTAATATTTCACGCCGCAACCGTCGGGGTAATGCGTCCGTGGCCTAATGATAAACCACGAGGTTTAATGCCCAGTACGCAAAACTCTGGGTTAACAACGAAATTTGCCCAAACAAGAATTTGGCCAGAGATGGTGATCACAGTGCGTTTTGTGCCTGTTGACAATGCTTCTTTGAATTATTTGGTCTGGTTCCCGCCTTTGTTTTGGGGTCACCAATGAGGAGGCTTCTGAGTTCACAAAATGCTCCAAAAGATTAACTAAGCCAAGCGAAGCTAGAAACGCGTCAACCGCAGGCAGGGCCTTTACATGCTACCCACGCTTTGCAGTACGTCCGTCCCCAGGTGTTCATACGATCATTCCCACGGGTCTCATTTCCCCTCCGAAAGTCTGGGCGATGCTCCAAGTAGTTCCATGGAGGCTGAGTGACCTATCTAATTCGTGTCGCCGGGGGAGGAGGGAGGAGTCAGAGGGGGATGTCAGTTATCTTATGGGATTGCCGTTCTACCGCATGTGGACTGCCACCGAAGGACAAAATGTCCCACAATGAAAGACGACACCAGGCTACCAATTTGTCATTTAGTCGCACGATAGAAGGCCCCACCTCGAGAGGATGGCTTACCTGGATCAGGTCATTGCTGCCATGTCTTGACGAAAAGTTTCCTTATGTCTTGCCGCATCGTAACTTTAAACAAAATAAGTGATCAATGCATCAGTGTGTTTCACGCTCATCGAAAGCAGGACCACTATGCTATCGACACGCAAGAAGTAGTTAAATGCCCAGATACGCAGACATGAAATGAAAACCCCTGGGACAGAAGAGTTGCACCCCTCGCCGTGTCTGCATCCAGCCGCAGAATAGGCGTGAAACGCACGTCCTCCGCTCATAGGTAGGAATAAATTCTGTGCCTCCTAAATGTATGGTTTGCCGTTAAGAGAAATGTGCAGGGCCCAGTTAGTTCGCTGAAGCTGCCAGGATCATAAAAAATTTGTGACCTGCCCGAGAAGGCTGTGTTTGTAATTCCAGATGAAATCAGTAGTTTAACATCCTAAGAGCTTTGCTTCTACCGATGTCTGAAACAACAGCAACGGGCAGATTTATGTCAGCAACAATTTTGTTTTACTTTATTTTTACTTCGAGCCTCGGGCGGTCCACACTTCGGGGTTGGGTATGACTGGCTGACGTCGGCTAAAAAGCCAGAAGTGGCCATTCAAGTCTCCCTTGTCTTTGTCGGTAATATCATTCTGCCTATATATCATGCGCCGCTGCGCGGCTGCTGGTTGGGCTCGAGAGAGAGCCCTGAAGGCACAACGGAACGAGTGAGTTCCGTATCCACGATCGGTCAGCGCCCCCTAACATTGTATATTCCCGATCGAAAACCGACAAGGCAACGGGCTAGTGGCCCGGTGGGTAGAGGCGTGGACTTCTAAACTAACAGGTCGCGAGTTCGAGGCTCGAGTGTTCCACACTTCGGGCTTGGGAATGGCTGGCTGACGTCGGCTAATAAGCCAGAAATGGCCATTCCAGTCTCCCTTGTCTTTGTCGGTAATACCATTCTGCCTGTATATCATGCGTCGCTCTGCGGCTGCTAGTAGGTCTCGAGAGAGAGCCCTTAAGGCACAACGGAACGAGTGAGTTCCGTAAGAAAGATCGGTGAGCGCCCCACTAGCATTACTTAAAAATGCCATGAGCAGACGTTTTTGAGGATATATTGCTAAAATATGCCAGTTAACATAACTTTCATCAAATATGAACTCACAGCAAGCGCGCCTTGACTCGCAACTCTTTTCAATGATACAAGAACTCTGTAGACGGATAAAAATGAAACGTCACTGATAAGGAAGTCACTGGTTTGTATCCGAGACGCTTCAAAAGAGAACGCATCTCCATCTCCAAGGGCGATACTAACTACCACTACTGCTAGCGATATCATTCATAGAGTTTGACATTGCTTGTTCCGGGAGGAATGTTCAAACCACATATGAACCTTTGTGAATCAATGTGAACACTGCACCACGCATACGCGGTTCTCAAAAAAAGATGTAAAAAGTGTTCACTCAATGGATTGAAAGGAAACGCTTTTCAAGAAGGTCAAATTATTTATAATAAGCAGTGGGTCAGAGCCTTATGATTCCGCCTAGTCTGAAAGTCACATCGGTTCTGAAGACCGTGCGGGCCGAGGAGAAGTTAAAACTGCCGTCCAAATCACCCAAAGCGGTCATTTTCAGTGTACACTTATACTTCCAGTGGGGGGAGCATTAAATGACTACTTGAAAGTTCGCAACCCGAAGCGTGCACATGTCCTCGCCCCCGTCTGTTTATCTTGCGGGCATCGTTTTGCAAGACACGCACTCGGTTACCAACGGCGTATTTTGATTTTGCGAGCACATTGGGCACGAAAGTACCACTTCAGCCTCAGGGGGGGGGAGGAGGGAAAACAAAACGAATGGGGAAACTGTTACACTCTGCACTCTCGAGCAACCGCCCAGGTGAAGGCGCTGAACAAACTGTCAGAGGCAAAACACATGACAGGCCGTGACGGCAAGGAGGAAACGCCGCGGACAGTTTAGTAAAGAGGAAGGCCCTCCTAGGAATACACAAATCATGTGTAGGCATGGCGGAAAGTGGGGTTCGATAATGAGACCACGTAACCAAGCGCTGCTACAGAGGGACGATGGTGCATGAACATTTCTTAAGATACAGGCAGAATGGCAATACCGCGAGGCTCCAACTCGCGACCTGTTAGCTAGAAGTCCACGTCTGTTGGTCGGTATTGGCATTCTGCCTATATCATGCGTCGCTGAGCGGATGCTGGTTGGGCTCGAGAGAGAAAGCCCGTAAGGCACAACGAAACGAGTGAGTTCCGTGAGAACGATCGGTGAGCGCCCCCTACCATTTCTCAAGATGTTTTTCAACCCGCAGAACGTTCTAGGTTTTTTAAAAATAAGAAAGCAAAGCGTTACCAAAAGCAGACAAAAGAGAAAATGATTCTGTTAGTATGCGGACTTGACTTTTCTCTAAAAGTCATCCTCAGCGACAACAATAGAAAAGGACACGGGCTGCGTTGGTCACCCAATGATGTACCCGCCAAATTCAGTGCAAAGGTCTGAACTCGGTATAATGGCTGTTTAGCTATCTGACTCAGTGTAGTCGTTAATGGTTGGTGTTGATTTGGCTCAACCATATTGACACGAAGCGGTACCTATCGCCTGCTCTCTAACCCCAAAAGGGACAACGCGGTAGGTACGATGGACCAACAGGGGGGCTACTTCGGATTCTGGCAGGCGTTATCAGGAATGCGCACCCATAGCAAATACCGATATCTATATATTGAAGATATAAAGCACCTAGTTACTAAGGTGTCATGTGACTAGTGACATGGTGTCACCGAAAGCGGCACCACTACCTACAAAATGGACACTCGGAAAAGACTATACACAATCTCCGCACATTCATATGAAATCTGTTTCGCCACCGCTAGGCCCGTCGACAAGCAACACCCATTATTTGATGCCTGACTAGGCCCAATCAGATATCAATATATGGAGTCTGAGCGATTAATGCGTTTTCGGTCACTAAAATGCAGAAGGGTGTCAATGCGAGCCTTGTCAGGTAGAGATCGTCCCTAAAAGGAAACACGCGGTAGATGCGCTGGATCTATACGAGGGCTAGATCGAAGTCCAGAAGCGTTATCGGCCATATGGACCCATAACAAACCCCAACAACGGTGTGTGACAGCAGTCCCGTTATCAGCTCACGTCATGCCCATTGGGATTTCTGGTGCCCCCCTATTTTCTTTGACTTATAAAATCCCAGTTAAGTGTCTGTGGTGGATCGGGGGATGTGACAGTACGCCCAGGTGTGGAGTAACGCCGTGCCAGGCACATGCGGCCTCTGCCGCCTCCGGTCTTCTTGACTTGGTCATGACACCGGGCTCAGATGGGAGAGTGGGAAAGGGTGCGGTAGATACTGCGCAAGCCACTGTCCCCACTTTCAATTTGCCGTGAAGTGCATGGTTGGCATCGTATAATCGACGGTCGAACTGTCACCCGCCTGCTTATGCATGACTAGCTAGTCCGCCCAGGTAGACTTTGCACTGCGACCTCTCGCGCGGACTCTTACCTCCCTGATCTGGAAGGATTGGTCGACTCCAACCCAGTGTATACTGTGACTTGAGAACTGAAGTCATTCCTCCTCACTTGTTATGCCTATCCGTCCATCCGCGTCCAGAGTGATCAATGGAAAATGTCACACACAAAGAAAAAAATAAAATTCTGTAGTCGCGATGCCACCCGTCATACTTCCCACGCCAACGACAACAGAAATTGCAGACATCAAGATGGAAGTCCAGCTTTTTCTCATTCGCCAACTTCCGTTTTCAAACGGAGGTCTGCTACTATACGATTCAACTTTAGTGGGACCTTAAATAAAATACCATTTCT